TGTGCACATTTTGAGCATGACGTCTCTGATCCACTGGTGAAAGGACACTTTGATTCTCTCCTCTTTCATCTCAAACTGCTTCAAACAACAAAGCGTGTCCCGGAAAAGTGGTTAGGACTGCACGACTGTCCGTGTTTTATGTTAAGTGTTGTGTTTATTATTTTACTTTATGTTAACTGTTTTGTTAAGCGCTTTGTTACAGCTGCCGCTGTTGTGAAAGCGCTATATAAATCAGCATGTATTGTATTGTATAGTATTGTACCTCACACAGGCAGGATGTCGGAAATAGCAACAGTGCTATTGTGGCGATCTCAGAGTATTCAGCCATAACTTTAATCCAGCTGTCTCGAACGTACTTTTAAGGCCGCCGTCATTTGCGATCTCCAAGCAGCTTTTTTACTCATTTTGCAGGCTTCAGCGTTTTGTTTTTGAGCGTCATCGGTCACGTGACCGAGAAGCATGGTTTGACGTGAATCAAGCGTGACACAGACGGATGTAACGGAGAATCCGGTAATTTTTCAAAATAAAACATCTGTCGTATTCCGAAATAAATAAAACGGAAATAAGGCAAGTTCTTTCTTTGCGGCCTGGTACCAAATGCCCTGCGGACCGGTACCGGTCCGCGGACCGGCGGTTGGGGACCCCTGTTTTAAACGACAAAAGATCAAGCATGATTGAGATACCTGTCTCAATGTCTTGTGGAAACCTACTAAATCTACTGAAAGCTAGCACTTTTGCCTGCTGTGAAAGCCCTCCGTGCCTCCCTCTCTCCTCTCTCCCCTCAGCTTTTCAATAAAATAATCAGAGTAAGAGTGGGCGGGAGCAGATGCAAGTCCTTACGGGTGCAGAAGGTGGAAGGAAAAAGTTGTTTTTATGCAGAAAAATGTACAAAAAAATAGAGATAAATAAAATAGAATGATTGTAAATATATTTTATCTTGAGGATCAATAAAAGCACTCTGGATTGAAATATCAATATTTTTGTATTGTTCCACGCATCCCTATTTCGAGTCCTGGTTATATCCAGTCAGTCTACTTATGAATCAGAGACCAACAAAGCAGAAGACTTCCAGTAGGATCAGTGACATCAGATCAACACAAATACCGTATTGGCCCGAATATACTGTAAGACGGCCCTGATTATAAGACGACCCCCTCTTTTTCAAGACTCTAGTTTGAATACCAAATTAATTTTTATACAGAAAATAATTACAGTACATCTGAAACAAATGATTATAACAATATATTTGAGAGAAAAAGCATGTTATTTTGCCTCATTCAAATCTAAAGTGCAATCACTTTCGTAAATGAATGGCTTCTGGTTTTTGAAATGTAAATTACATCATAACTTCTCCTCAGCTACCGGTTAACCTGGCCGATCTTCGACCCACTTTTCTCCAGATTGTCACTACGTTTCTCCATTTTCTGTTGTCTCTTCTATTATTTTCTTCTCTTTTCCTTCTTACCGCTACTCTTTATTTTTCTTCTTCATGCTACCGCTATTTTTATTTTTATTCTTCGTGACAGGGGTTCGCTTTGGCCTGGGGAGTCAAGTTCAGCATTCACTTCAATGGTATCTGGCGCTATCTAGCGTCGTCAATGGGTATAATGTCTAGATCCCGAATATAAGACGACCCCCACCTTTTCAGTCTTATTTCAATGCAAAAAACACCGTCTTATATTCGGGCGAATATGGTACATCCACTGGGAAGCCAGTTTAGCATCAATTTTCTGCCCCCAGTGATTGTATTGCAGTGCAGTGCAGTGCCCCTATTGGTGGAAGTAGTTAGAACCACCCCAAAAGTCAGTGGAGTAGGGTAGCCATTTTGAATCATAACAGTGAAGAGGTGTGATCACATCCACTTTCATCTTTCTTTTGACACATTCAGGCTCAATCTCTAAGTCCATTTACACCAGGGGTGTCAAACTCATTTCACATGGTGGGCCACATACGGCCTCGGGAGATGTCAAGTGGGCCGGACCATTAAAATGATACAATGCTTTGCTATAAATAACCAAAACAATATGTCTTTCCTTTGTTTTGGTATAAAGAAGCACAAGAACATTAGGAAAATGTTGAAATTTAATGAACATATCTTTTACAAAACATTTCATGAAGCACCTTACATTTCCTTCGACAAATGTGCAATTTACTTTTATCATTCACATATATGCATTGCAACTGATCCCACTGATTGTACAAACTTTAACAAGTAATTGGTATTGAAAAATATAGTAATGCACTTTAAGATTAAACAAGATTCATAAAGAAAGCAAGTTTTAAAGCATTTACACGTGCATATAAAATCTAAATGTAATCCCTGCCTACACCTTACAAACTAAGGAGAGTGCTATTAAATGTGTAAATGTGAGAGTGCTATTGATAGCGTCTGCTGTCATGGGTCTATCTCAGTGACAGACTGAGGCTGCTGTTGTCTTCTTCTCTGATCAAAACAGTGTCCCCTTGCGGATACTCAATGAGTTGCACCTGATTAAAAATATTAATTCTGTGTCTTTAATGCATTTTTTTCACTTTTACATTATCCTGCGGGCCTGATTGAACCTACTTACGGGCCGGATCCGGCCCGCGGGCCGTATGTTTGACACCACTGATTTACACCATGGGTCAGCAACACGCGGCTCCAGTGTGCTCTTTGGCGCCATTTAGTGGCTCCCTGGAGCTTTATAAAAAATGTTTGAAAATGGAAAAAGATGTGGGAGGGAAATTTAATTTTTTTGTTTTAAATATGGTTTCTGTAGAAGTAAAAACATGACACAAACATTCTTAACATTTTCCAATGCTGTAAAAATGTGTAGAATAAATATTACATTTCAACGCTTCTGTCAACGAAGATTTGCGTCATAGCCTGCGACACACGTTGCTATTAGCAGGGCGGGATGCAAGGCAGGTGACTGTTGCAAAAACTAATAATAATATTCATTCATTCATTTTCCGAACCGCTTGATCCTCACTAGGGTCGCGGGGGGTGCTGGAGCCTATCCCAGCCGTCTTCGGGCAGTAGGCGGGGGACACCCTGAATCGGTTGCCAGCCAATCGCAGGGCACACAGAGACGAACAACCATCCACGCTCACATTCACACCTAGGGACAATTTAGAGCAGTCAATCAGCCTACCATGCATGTTTTTGGAATGTGGGAGGAAACCGGAGTACCCGGAGAAAACCCACGCAGGCCCGGGGAGAACATGCAAACTCCACACAGGGAGGCCGGAGCTGGATTCGAACCCGGTACCTCTGCACTGTGAAGTCGACGTGCTAACCACTGGACTACCGGGCCGCCCCTAATAATAATAATCATAATATATATTTTTTTTAAACGGCGTTTCATGTACAATGTACAATTCAAAGAGGGTACTGGCGACGAGAATCTGGAGTGCCGTGAAAAGGTACACATGAGCTACAATAGTTAAAAATGCTGCAAAAGTGCGTCCCATGCCTCCGCGTAGGTAGGCATGCGTCTGTAAGTGTGTTGTGTATGCGCGAGTCAATTGCAGTAGGTTGGTTAAACGAAAAGTAGATCTTCGGTCAAAAGAGGTTGAGCACCCCCTGCTCTCCAGAATGCACTGCACGGAAAAAAAAAAGAATAATCATGAAGGTTCATTGTGTAATTGTAGCAAACTTAGTCATTTTGATAGTAGGCTAATACAGCTCATATAGATATAGATACATGTTGCAGCTCCGGAAAAAGGAGAGCTGTGGTGTTGTTTTTTTAAAACGTATGCTTTATTTATGCTTTTAACAGTCTCGACAAACACAGACACGTCCGCGTCCGACTCGGTGCCTTCTCTCCTCTCTTTGACTTGAGAGGCGTTCAAAGCCAGCCTCCGAAAAACGGAAATTAACGATCACTTCAACGACACTAAGAAAAGCGAAAATAATGCACCAAAACAGAAATTCAAGAGCGGAAATCACAAAATAAATTCTATGGGGGCATTTGTGAACACACAACAAAGGAATGAATAACATAAACAATTCTGAGACAGTCCAGTCTCCTACATACATACAGCATGTGTTTCCTTCATTTTAAGTTTTATTGAAGGCTTTTATTTTGTTGCGGCTCCAGACATATTTGTTTTTTGTTTTGTTTTTTTTCTTGTATGTCTCTTTCAACATTTTGGGTTGCCGACCCTGATTTACACAGTTGTAGATGTTACTCTTTGTTGTGCAAGTTATTTATTGTCATTGACTTTATTGTTCTTGACTTCAAAAAAAAATACCAAACGGTGGATTCTCATCTTCATGTTTTTATTGGAGGATTGTTTAGCTCGCCGTCTACACCATGCTCTCAGGTCAAACACATGGTTAGGGCAGAAGAATCACAGCAGATCTAGAACAGATTTACAAACTGGTCTGAAACCCATTTCCACCAGGCACTACAGGTACATCACGGTCTAAGCTCCATCGTAACCAAAATCAGTCAAATGCAGTTCCACTAACGCGTATGGAGGCACACTGCACTTTTTTTTTGACAAACCCCGGCTGCAGAAATGATATGTTTGGAATCCTTCACAATTGAAAAGCTAGAAAAATGCACACCAAACTAAACTCAACCTTAGTGCTTGGACAATAATAGGCTTAGATATCCTGTTGCATTACAGCCGATTTGCACCATCCGAGAGCCAGAACCACGCTGATGGCTCTTATCTGCTTCCAGGTTGCCGTACAGAGCCATGCCAGCGGAGGGCGCTGTGGCTGGAGAAGCGCCAAGCAGCTGGGGGCTGGACCATTGAGGTGCCGGGACGCAGTCAGACTCTAATGGATTTGAGTGAGGCCCAACGACACCGCAGGGCAAGTCACCCAATGAATATTGAATCAAAGCAGGTACTGAAGCAGTCTCAGAGGAACCAACCACATTCAACCAATAACACCCTGGTACTGAGCAGCCAAGCCAGTTATCATGCTCACCTCATCACGAATAGAACCAGCCGGACCAGTCACCCTAACACAACCAGAACCGTGCAGAGTGCAACAAGCAGCAGGAGGGAAGATGACTCAAGGTGTCATGGTTTGTTTTCTTGTGGTCCACCAGACTGGCGAGTGTTTCAGACTCTGGGAAATCAAGCCAGAATCCCAAAAACGTCTACTGGTCCATATTACAACACCTTGGGAGCACACCAGAAACCCCGATCTCCACCTTCCCCACACTGTCGGCAGTCCAATCAGAAGTCTGTCAGGAATCAACTGCTCCGGGCCAGAGCTTACAGGCTGGCGAAGGAACGCAGTGAGGTCACCACGGACGAGGAGGTGCGTGGGGAATTGGAGCAACCGGGGGACCACCTTGGGATTGGCGAGTCCTGGGCTGGCCGGTACTGCAACCGGGCTGAGAGGAGACGTCACCTTGTGCTGTCACGGCAACTCAGAGAGCGACGCAATGGTGAAGAGGCTGCGGCAGGTGGAGGTCAGAGCTCGCTGTCATCCCAGATGGTTCTGGAGTTGAGCCACAGGAAGCAGAACCGACTGAGGAACAGCAAGCTGCTTGATGATTGGACAACGGTAGAGGAACTACTCACCCACGGGACCCGAGTGGAAGTGGACACTCAACTGTGTCCTAGCCCTCTGCTATCTGTTACTACTGTCTGAGGGATTGGAGCCTTACATCTGATGAGGCGAGATCGACACTTTGTTCCACTTTTTTTGTTGTCTCATCATCAATAAAAGTCAGGTGTCAATGTTGACACAAATTGTGGACCACAAGAGAACGTAAGTCATCAGTCACCAGCCATCAGTTCACTTCAGGTCTACCTGGGTTTATTTTCTTTCTGAGAGTTCCACCCAACCAGTCAATCGAAAGACTGTTTTTAGTTTGGCATAAACAGAAATGGATAATTTTGTTATTAGCTTCAAAGGACCTACCGAGCGAGTTGCTAGAATAGATTTTTGATGGTCTACAGTTTCTGGACTGACAACTAGGAGCAGTAGTATATTGGTTCACTTGTGTCAGGCAAAATCCTCGTAACTCCAAAACCATCACTTTTTAAGAAACCCTCCAAAAAAATGTGTTGAGCCATTAGATGGCCAAAGAGAGCAGGCCATTTTCAACACTTTAGATTGGTCATTAATTTGTAAAAATAACATTCAGGTGGGGACTGACTAATCCTATAAATTTGTGAAAATATATTCAATTTACCAAATGTGGACATGGAAGTTTTCAGCCCGACACCAGCGAATTGTACTTCTTTGGATGCCTGACAACTGACCTTTCACTAAGACTTCCTCCAATCCCAAGGTTACATAAATTACATTTGCTAAGCCCATTTGGCTGTCAATGTTATACATCCAAATCAAAATCATTCAAGGGAACCATGCGACACAAATCAAACACCTAAGTTCACGTAGCATACGTTAGCTTAGCTAACGTGCACATCACAGAACAATGGCTCGACACTGCTAGCTCTTATAATTATGATGATTCAACAACAAGGAGCCTATAAAAATTCTAAAAACGCTGCAACAAGGAGCACCTACGCAGTTTTGCTTGCTTAGCTGTTATAACAGTGTAATATTAAGGAGGGGGAGCTGTCAATTTGCTTTTGGCCCTCCTTGGACACTGGTTCTTTTATCTCTCTATAAGGTGGAAGAAGAGCCAACACCACGTCGTCCTTTCTGAAGTTTATCACAATGCAACACGAATCGATTCGGGCTCCTGTGAGTCTCAGATTTCATCAGGAAGCCCTGAACAAATACAGTCACACGTTTATACAGTAAATATTCTCTAGTGCGGACTCGTGTTTGCGCTGTCCAATTTGTCCTGATAACAGAAATTCCTCATTTGGGAAATGAGCATGGTACATGTCCTTTATGAACCTGCAAGTATGTTGACAAAATGCACGTGTAACAACACAATCAATAAAATACAAAAATATACTGTCCAAAAACTGTTTA